AGGTTCTTACCCGGCGGGCCTGCCACATCTGCTAGGGCTGCCGGGGAGTCCTCATGTCACACCGGAGCCGACCCCGGGGCTGCGGGGAGCGGAGGGTGCCAGGAGCCGGAGGAGCTGCGGGGGTGTGAGAAAACCCCGGTTCCTCCCCTCCCTTCCCTTCCTGACCTGCCTGGCCCCTCCCTGCCTGCCCCAGCCCTGAGCTTTCCTGCCTCCTGCCGAAGCCCCGGGGCTGCCGGGGCTGACTCAAACCTCCCGCACCTTCATCATCCTCCCGGGGTGTCAGGGGAAACTGAGGCACAGGAATGTCCGGTCTTGCCGCACGTGGCCGGGGACCAGCGACCAGCGCCGGGGACCAGCAGCTGGGCCACCAAAGGGCTTCCTTGGGCTGCTGGGACATCCTGCCCTGACCCAGCAGCTCCGGCAGCCTTCCCTGTGGGAAGCTCAGCCCCAAAGCTGGGAGGAGAACCCTTCTCCCTGGAGGCAGAGGGAGCAGAGACCCTGCTCCTTCTCTGAGCTCTGGGGGAGCCCTCCTGCCCTTGCCGGGGGCAGGCTCAGCTTACACAGCCCTGGCTCCATCCAAGGTGTTGCAGCACAGCTGCTTCTTGCTTACGCAGGCTGGGAGCTGTGTCCTCTGAGACACAATGTTCCAGCCTGGAGGTGACACGGGAGCTGCCAGCCCCACGGCAGCACAGCCGGGGGGGGGGGGGAACCCCGTGGGAAGCACCTTGCCTGCTCCAGCCCCACAGTGCTTTGGGGTGCAGGGGATCTGTGCCCACCTGGCAGTGCTGGAAGGGTGGGACACCCCTTCGTTTCCCGAGGGGGTAGAGGCAAGAGATCCTTCTGTGCACCTGCATTTCCCTCTAGACAAGGTGTCCCTGACAGCCCTGCCAAGCCTTTCCCCCCCTGCAAGGAGCCCCAGTCACCAAGGGGGAGCTCAGTACAGAGACCCCAGTGCCCTGGGGTGCTGCAAGCAGCTCTTCTCCCAGCCCTGCTCCAGCACCTGGGGAGAAGCCACCCAGGCTCCAGCACTGCCCCCCAGCACTCACACACCCCAGAGGGACAGGACCTGCCCAAGGTCGTGCAACCAGGGCCCAGCCTGGCCAGGGCCCTTCCCCTACCAGCCCCTGTTGCCTGAGAACCCTCCAAACTCCAAGCCACGTGTGCTGGCCAGGGAGTCATCACCCTGGCCTCCCTCTGTGCTGCTGACACATCCCCACCTGGCAGCAGAACCTGCTCCTCGCTGCTCCTGGGCCACCCCTTGAGCAGTAAAACCCCAAACCCCACAGAGAACCTTGACGTAGCACCCGGGGCTTGTTCTTGCTTTGAGGTCTGAGGGTGGAAAAAAAGAAGGGACCCCAGGGGAAGCAACCTGAGCAAGCAGCTCTGCCCAGGCTGGGGGACAAGGAAAGAGCCAGGGAGCATGGGAGAGGAGCTGCCAAATCAACTCTGAGCCTGCAACCCCTGTGGTTTTACCCAGCTGAAGGACGAGGGGGAGGAAAGTTTTGCTGCCACCTCTGAGTCTCTGATGCTGCAGCCCCCTCCCCAGGGCTGGTGTCCTCACGGCACCCCCTCCACTCACTCACCTGTGGGCCGGGTGGCTGGTCAGGGGCAGGAGGCTGGCATGGCAGGGGG